CTCGTATGAAAACATGTGAACAGGTAGATAACTCTCGAGGGAGAGCGACCTGTCGATGTTGTATTCGAGTTGACACCGGAGACAGCTTGGTGTGAAGAATTCCACAGGCAGACGCAATGTCGTGCCGTATACAAGTTCAGCGGCGGAACATTGAATATCTGCCTTCAAACTCGTTCTGATGCCTAAGAGAACGAGCGGTAATGTTTCGTACCAATTGTCGTTTTCGTGTGCTCGGAGAGCACTTTTAAGTTGGCGATGAAACCGTTCGACTAAACCATTCGATGCTGGATGGTAGGCGGTAGTGCGTATGCGTTCCGTACCAAGCAGCCGGGTCAGTGAGGAGAATAATGCGGACTCAAATTGTTGTCCTCGGTCAGTCGTGACAGTCGAGGGACAACCGTACAATGCTATCCGTCGTTCTACGAAGCGGTGAGCAACTGTCTCCGCCGTGATAGACGTGATGGGAATAGCTTCGGGCTATCTTGTAAAACGGTCAATGCACGTGAGTATGTGATCATACCCATGCGATGGTGGCAATGGTCCTACAATGTCTATATGAACGTGATCAAAGCGAGCATCAGGCGTAGCGAACGTGCCAATGGGGGCAGCTACGTGCCTGTGCACTTTTGATCGTTGACACAGTAAGCATTGCTTTACCCACATACGAACATCTTTATTCATGGACGGCCAGACGTATCGTGCAGCAATGAGACGTAAGGTGGCTGCGATACCTGGATGAGACAATCCATGAAGGGCATCGAAGACGAGACGGCGATAAGTAGAGGGTACAATGGTCGAGGATGACCGGTAGAAATATCACATAGGATAGTACCTGAGCTAGTAGCTAGGGGTACTTCCTGACACTGAAGGGACGAAGATTGTGGTGCTTCTGTACAGACAGGATCGTTTGCTTGCGCGGCCGCCATAGCAGGAAGATCGAGCACCGGTAAGGTAACTGTATTCGTCTGGATACGTGAATAAGCATCGGCAACATAGTTCGACTCGCCTTTAATGTGACGAAGGTCTGTCGTGAACTGGAAGATATAGTCCAAATGTCTGCACTCTTGCGGTGAGTAGCGGTCAGACTTGGTATGCAGGGCATACGTTAAGGGCTTATGGTCAGTGAATAAAATGAATTGACGTCCTTCTACTGCGTGCCGGAAATGTTTGATGGCGCAGTAGGCTGCAAGCAGTTCGCGACCAAAAGCGCTATATCTCGTCTCCGTGGGAGTAAGGCGTCGTGAGAAAAATTCAAGGGGTTGCCAACTACCGGAGATATTCTGTTGCATAGCAGCTCCTATAGCGAAATCTGATGCATCAACCGCTATTCTAAGCGTGGCTGATGGGTCAGGATGAGCGAGAAGTGTAACTTGAGCGAGAACCGTTTTGATCTCTGAGAATGCAGTACGTGCGGTATCGTTCAATTTGCGTGGATTACCGTGTAGTAAATCGGTTAATGGTCGTAACCGTTCTGCCGCGTGAGGGATAAAACGTCGGTAGAAATTAACCAAACCGAGAAAAGCCTTCAGTTCCTTGAGTGAGGACGGCACGTTGTACTCCTTGATTGCTCGAACTTTGTCCTCGCAAGGCAGAATACCCTCTTGTTTGATGATGTGACCCAGAAATATTATTTCTGATTTACCCAATTCACATTTCTCTGGGTTGACTACTATTCCATTATCCGAAAGACGTTGGAATAATAGCGTAAGGTGTTGATAATGTTCATCTACGTTTGATGATGCGATCAGCAGGTCATCAATATAGACGTGAACAAAATCCAAGTCTCGTACTATGCTATCGATAAAACTTTGGAAATTTTGAGCAGGATTCCGTAATCCAAATGGCATTCGTAGGAACTCAAACAGACCGAACGGAGTCGTGATAGCAGTTTTCTCGATGTCTTCAAGAGCGACTGGGATCTGGTGATATGCTCGTACCAGATCGATTTTAGAAAATATAGTCGTGCCCTTGAGCGATGCCGTGATATCGTGTATGTGGGGGACGGGGTAACTATCAAAGCGCGTAACTACGTTTAATGCTCGGTAGTCGCCGCATGGTCTCCAACTAACCCCATCCTTTTTGCGCACCATGTGTAAAGGAGAGGCCCAAGGACTGTGAGAAGGACGAGTAATACCAGAAGATAGTAAATCGTCAAACTCACGTTTAGCGAAGGCTAATTTGTCCGGTGCCACTCGGCGTGGTTTTGCCGTGACTGGTGGTCCGCGGGTGACTACGTGGTGTACCACACGATTGGTCACCGATGAAATCTCCTCGAGTGGTTTAGTTATTCTGGGGAATTTCTCGAATAAAGCGTGGAATTTATCGTCACGCGAATAAAAAGTGCCGAGGGTTCGGTACACGTACATCAGAGTCTATTATATTAATACTATTCTTATCGTTATCCGTCATGTCAAATATATTATATATTAAAAATTAATATGAAAATATATGACAGACGTGGATAGATAAAACAATAGACTCACCGAATTGCCTTCTTTGAAAGATTTGACCGAGGTTGAGGCGTGTTCCAATAGTTGGCTCACCAAATGTAGCGTGGTGTCGAGTTGAGCTTGACTATGAACACCGCTACAAGACTACGTGCCAATAGACCAATAAGATTCCGGTAGGCCAAAAATCAGGAGGCAGATGTTTGCTGTAGTCGAGATGTATTTGTTGGCGATCTCGTGGTGTCGAAAGAATACCGAGATCGTGCCAAAGGAGTACAAGTGTGGTTGCTGAGCGTAACCGGATTCGTACAAGTTCAAAGTCAACGGGAGAGTAAGTATAGTGGCTGTCATTAGCACAGTTAAACAAACGAGTACAGTAAAACAGTCACTGGTACAATTGGTTATAATAATAATTGTTTTCATTGAACCAATCGCGTTCTGTAGACAAAAGTAGGTCACTACAACACAATACTAGATTAGGTCTTCTTTTGTGTTAAAAAATATAAGTGTTCCGAAGCTGAACATGGACCCAAATGCAAAAGGGGGAGTGATGTCACGATCTTTTGTGCAATACCTTATGATGGGGGATATCAGATACAATCAGTCCAGAAGCCAGGCATTAAGAATGTCAATGGTATGATAGGAGTACGTTCGATATGCCGGGGAGTGTTGGATCTTAGTTAGAAATTTGTTGCAAGGGATGGGCGGATTGACTTAACCTGTATTGATCTGTTGCCGGTGCGTGAACAGTCGCCTTTAACTAGGTTAAGTCAATAAACCAAGTGAGGTGAGCATCGACGTTGAAGAACAAGTTCAGACCTGTTTTCGATCGATCACATATTGTTCTTATTGTTCCGTTGTACTATATAAACTTGGATAAGTTTTAATTTGGTCATATATTCTCTGAAAAAGTGACTTACACTAAGTCGCGAAACGTCAGAAAATCTACAATTTCTACTCATTGGGATATTACAAGTATATCTATTTATTTATAACTACAGGACTAGTTATTTTTGGGATTTAGGTAACACCATAGAAGCACTACGTTAGGAATATAGTATCTGATAACTCTTTGAAGTGTCCCAGTTGAACCTGGTAGCCAAACGATTCTGTTTACTCTGTATCTTCTTATGCAAACTTTAATCATGTTAAGCATTGTGCTTAAAATAAGGGATACAACGTACAAAGTATATGGCTTTGCCCACAAGTGTGACCGATTTTCGAACATTTGATTCACTTATACCTTAATAACTCTACAACATCGTTTCACTTCAGTGAACCGATAAAACTGTTGCTCTCCACAACGAAGCGGAGGAAAGGTTGTTAGTATTCGATGACCCAAAAAATTGATATGGCGACCTACATTGTTTCACTCATAAGTTGAACAAATATTAATACGCTCTGCACATTGTGCACCGATCGAATCACACTTGGCGGCGAAGCTTAGGAGAATGTAAAAGCCTTCACATATCTGGGCAGGATAATCGACGAATATGGTGGATCTGACGCAAATGTGAAGGCGTGGATCGGCAAAGCAAGAGAAGGATATTTACAACTGAACAACATCTGGAACTCAAAACAACTGTCAACCAACACCAAAGTCAGAATTTTCAATACAATTCAATGACAAGACAGTTCTACTGTATGTGGCAGAAACCTGGAGAACTACGAAAGTCATCATCCAGAAGATACAAGTGTTTGTTAACACTTGTCTACACAAAATAGTTTGGATGTGTTGACTAGACACTATCAACAACAACCTACTATGTGAGAGAACATACCAGATCCCAGCGGAGGAAGGAATCATGACGAAGCACTGGAAGTAGATATGACACATTTAGGAAAGTACCCAACTGCGTCACAAGACAAGCCCTCACATGGAATCATCGGTTTAGGTTCCCTGGAAGTATCTCACACACTTTTGGAATTGTCAGGTGTAAATAAGTAAGCGTAATGTAAAGAGCATATCAGACAATAAAAACACCCAATGAACCCTTTGCTAAGAGTCTCTCAAAAATTGATTTTAGATTTGCTTCAAGAAATCTACATGCTTTAGATATTGGACTGAATTTTAATAGAAGAGAAAATTTATGACAACTTGAAAGTTAATAAGCATTTCAAACTAATTGAAAAGTAAAATTATGTGGCAATTGCTAAAGTGAATTCAGAACCTATTTTCAAAATGCTGTTTATTAAAGTTCAAACAACTAAACGCACTTTAACTACTTCAAAATGAGTTTTATTCCATACCATGGTCTGTCAGTTAACAAAGAACTGGTCCTATAAAAAGAAAGTTTGATCGTAAATAATGCGAAAAATTCGTAAAATTCTTTCTACGGATAGATTATATATCGGAAAGTACAACCTCTGTATTCATCGTGCTCTCTTAATAATGTATGACACATTGTTTCTTGATCACGTTTTATTCCACCTCTCTATTGTTTTTCTTTTTATTTGGAACAGCAGGAAATACAGTTTCACTTCATACTGATTGCTTTTTCATGAATAAAAAGTTTTTTGATTCCTCAATAAGGTATTGGATATTGGATCGATGTCTACTGAGGTCATGATCGGTGTTTATTTTGAGATTCTTCGTTACTTCTTATAATTTAACAGAGTAGTTCTGTTCTACGGGTATTTCATCTGAAGGTCATACTAATATTTTATCCTTGATTTTCAGATTTCAGGATGAATGCCTATTATTTTTACCTATTTACTAAGTTGAAAACCTCAGAACTGACATGAATATTTGGGTGTATCTAACTTTTTTACCTCATAAACAATAGTCTGTTCTTAAAAAATTCGTGTCCGTAGTTGGTGTATATATATTGGCCATTGTACAGGTTGTCTTTCACTTTCCCTGTGTGGATATAATAATCACAACCAACATAGGTTCTGGTTTTTGCTGCATTTCCAAAGTATCGGTCTCACAGTATTTCATCTTTAGTATGCATTTACTGAAAAGTCTGGGCAGCATATTTAACATTTATAACAATAATCATAAACGTATATGGTTCAGTGCCAATTTCTAAAAACACGTCCATTATTTTTAATTGTCAAAATATGCTTTAGAAATAGTATCTTCATCATTTTTTCCCAGTCACTCATATTGACTGAGCATTTGCTAGTACTTACCACCGACGCTCATTCCATTTTCTAACACAAAGATGAGATCTCAATTGTTGTAACTAAACTTGCTCAAACTTCTAAAAACATGACTACCAATTACATAAAATAATCATACATCAACCTAAATGCATTAGAATTTCTCTGTTCTATCAATGTAGCTGAAAATTCTATTCACTTTTTAGCCATAGGAAAAGCGGATTTTATGCATACTAAGTGGTTATTGCATTCCATAGTACAATCGTTTTATCTCTGGCTAATGAATTGTAATACTTAGCGGCAATTTACGATTAAGTCCAAACATAGCTTGGTTAGTCTAGCAATACAATGCTTTTTAACCAGTCGTTAACACATCGAGAGCCCTAGCCAGGCTGACCACGCTTACAGACATATATCCGTCATCTAATTTCCTACTGGCCAACCACTAGCGAATCGTTTTATGCAGTGCCATAAAACTATTCAAACTTCTGATCAATATTTAATTTTTCTGGTTTAACACGTAGTATAGTTTAACTCATGGTTAACAGAACATAGTCTTGGATTATCACTTGATAATTGATCCTTCTCCAAATTAATTTTAGGGTATAATAGACTGTAGGCACCAATTAACTCTTGATACGAATGAAATAATTAAGAAGTTTGAATCTTACTCGAGTTCCGTCGAATGGCGGTTTATATACAGCCGTCGGATTATAGATAAATGAGATGCAAAAGATCAATTTACATTTTCTTGTCAAACTCAACGATGAACGAAAAGTTCTGACATCATGGTGGCAAATGGTAATAGCTCTTAGAAATTGCAAAAACCAAAAGATGATATAATCCAAGTGATTATGCATTCTTGGTTCTCAGATGGGCTTACTTTAAAAACTAGTTACCTAAACCATTGTTAAGAGACAAACTAATCACTCATTATTCGTAAGCACTTCAAGTTATGGAGTATGATGACAAAACGTTTAATTGTAGTTTTAGCAATCATCCATTTCTCTTTAATCCATCCATAGGTTACAGGAGACATTAATGTTATTCTTCAACATTTGATTGAGCCTATGGGTATTTTAAAATACCTTACTTTCTCATTTGGTGACTTAAAACATCTATAAAGATGTCTCATAAAGTTTTACATACACTTATAGTTTCCCTAAACGAAATTCTACTTTTGGTCGATATGTTTTAGATATGTCGTCTGGAGACAACAATTCACAACATAAAGAGAGTTTAATGCATGAGATCAATGCATTGTTTGCTCCACCAACAAATGAATCATACGGTAAAAAGGGTTCACTCGGTATTGTAAGTTTCTTCTCATTCTTCTTACCTACATATAAATATTTAATTGTTATCAGCCTTCTTTTCGTCGCGCAAGAAAAAATAATGAATCAACGACGAACAGTTCGGAAACAAATAATTCCAGTTTAGAGCACTTTCAATTACCAAATACATCTGCAAAAAATGATCCATTTTGGAGGAAACCTCGTGCTAATTGTCATGAATATTGTGATAGTTGTGGTTGTATTGAAGGCGAAAGACTTGTCTGCGATCGATGTCCAGCCAGCTTTCACCTTGAATGTCTTGATCCACCATTAGATCCGGATGAAGCACCTGTTGGTGTCTGGTTTTGTCATCGATGTTCAATGGTGTTGAAAGTACGTCAACCCAGACTTCATATTTATCAGTCAAATATTTACTTTGTTCATTGACAGTTAAACGATGATACTAAGTTGATAACCTTCATTCGTTTAACATAAAACGTCTGATTTTACGTCAAGCTTATGTTTTTTAACTTGACTATTTATTTTATTAGATTATTTGTAAGTAACTGTAGTTTTAAGTTTATGTATACAGAATATTGTTAACCCTTTAAAACCATATAAATCACAAGTGTAAGTAATTTGTTTCTATACCGAAACTGCATGGTGACATATTTGTTGCCAGAAATGAGCATAACTTTAGGTGTAGAAACTGTCGTCGAAATCTAATGTGATTTATCAACTGTTTAGTAATCTCTAATCTTCAGTGGTTTTTCGGTTAGTATCTGGCTATGATGATAACCATTCTCAAATGTCATTTCCTTACGTACCTATGTAATTAAACAAAAGTCAGTTGGAGTCCTTTGGAGTTCTTACTCAATAATTTTCTTTCTCTGTGTGTTGAAATCTAAATTTTGGCAGCTTTTCATGTATCATGTTCGTTCCAGATCTTACATTAGTTGTACCTGAATGTCTGTAAAATATAAACTGATCTGTTTAAATAGTCTGATTTAACAGAAAGATTTGTTAATTAAGTTCATCCTATTAGCATTTTTGTTTTGCAAATATGCATATTCGAAACATCACATATATTTACCAGCTGATATTTTCCTTCATTTCCAAATTTATATATTCATTCCCTTTTCAATATATAACAGGATGAAGAAGATAAAACTTCAACATCAAGTAGTCAAACCACTATAGCTACAGATACAGGTTCTTCTCGTTCTGGTAAAAGTGGACAAAAACGCCAAGATCAAGCATCTTCATCATCATCATCAGTTGGAACTACAACAGCAGCAACAGTTGGACCATCAACTTCCACTTCTATATCTTCCATCAGTAATAACAATAATAATAGTCATTCTCACCAACAAAATCCACTACAACAATTTATCCAATCACAAACTAGCAAACGTCATTATACATTCCGTTCGACATATAACGAACAATATTGTTTAGATATGAACAAATTATCGAGTAGTCGTTCCAGTACTTGGGGTGATTCAGCGTATGTTGCTGATATTGAAGAATCTGAGCTAAGAGCATTATGGAAAGTAATTGAATATGCGAAATATCAAAATCCAAAAGAATATGATTTACCGAAAGACTTATTACCTGGTGTTAAGCTTCCTGGTAAGTATAAACGTAGATAGGTCTTTTCAATAAAAATAAACACACTAAATTCATAATGATACCATTTGAAGAAGTTTATCTGAAGCCTAACTTATGTTATTTTAACTGGATTCCTATATCTAACAACATATTTATTTAATCTCCATATGCTTTATTTAAAATATTTCTAAAAGTTCTCGGAAGCTAGAATTTTTACCTATTTTTTCGTTTAACACTGCTAGAATTGTATGCATAAACAATTTTCCCAATTTCAGTTCATCAATCATCATTAAGGTAGAGAATTGGTTTGTCGAGTGGCAAATAAGATCAAATACACCAGCACAGGAGATTAACAGTAACCCTGGCTTTGTACCATTCTTGGAAACTTCAATGTCCCCACCAAAATAAATTGATTTAAATATCCTCCAACATTTCATGAATTTTCCAGAAGTTTCTCCCAGGTGTCACCCTAAACCTCAATAGTTTAGTTGACACATTTATGGACAAATCTCAAGTATTTTAGGTTTAATTTCGTGTTCAGTCTTGTATATCTACAGCTGATTGATTATTCAAACAGGAACGAAACAATCGTTCAAACAATAGCATCACGGTTTATAACTTAACAATTAAATTGTGTAACTGTATATTAATCTTGTTCAAATCCATTTATTTATTGAATTAAATAAAGTATATCACCACTATATTGGTGGCTCACCTCAAAAAATCATCGTGCTTGTTTTATATTATCTTCTGTAGCCTGAAGATAGACATATCCAACTACAAGAAATATAAAAGGCTTGATATATTAAGTATGTTCCTTTTTGATCTCACTTGCTGACTGCTATGTATTGTGGGATAATTCATTGTAGTCCTGAACTAACATAGCTTTTGATCGAATAGTTAAATAATTGAGTCGTATATTTCACGTAATCATGCATTTAGGTCTAATATCTACTACTAGTTACATGAACAATCCAAAGCTCTATCCGTTATAACATAGGCATCCTCCATTTTGAAACATTAGATATGTTTTAGTGTACAGTAGTTTAGAGTAATCTGTTTGTCACCAAATAATTGTCTATTAGACATTTGTTTACTAGTGGCTTCCTTTACAAAAAAGAATAAAGTTACTGAATAACTTAACTTGCTTTATGTCATTGTTAGTTAGGATTTTGATTGTTCCGTTATTGATAATCTTGATTCAATTTTAATCAGTCTTCGTTGAAACGTGTGCGTCCTACGTAAATTGCTTCAATATGACTGTTTTTCACGAGTCTTTATAGAATAGATGCATTCATAGCTAGTAGTACGTCCCAGAACGCGTGTTCTATATAGAACTCATCACATGGATATACGTGCGTCCCAATGCTGATGTTCACACTGAGATGCAAACAACAAGCTAATTCAAGTTTCTTCTAATAATGATATATGTCACATCCATATTACAGGTAAGTGGCTATCTGGACTTAGTAGCTCAGTAAATAATGCATTGGGTTTTTGAAGTGAAATGTACTGGTCCAGAGTTCTGATGCGGACAAAAAAACCGGTATTCGAGTATATCCAACTAAATAGTCCCAAATGCAATAAAATGCCGATTATATGCTTCCTTGCTAAATACAAATCCGCCTATTCTACCTAAATTGGTTCTCTATTTTGTTTCAAAATTAAGGAAGAGATTAATACACCCCTTATCTTGTTCATCTGGGTTTTTTTCCGATTACCTGTTAAGGTTCATACAAAACACCAACAGAACGGAAAAATAAAGGAATCATCGAGTTAGAGAATGGTCTTATTCCACAACCTGTAAGACGTTGTTACGTATGTGTTCGGTAAGCTTAAAATCATTTTTATGATTATATACATGTATACATGACATATTACTCACATTATTCAATTACTAAAAGTAATCACAAGTTGTTTTTGTTTACATTTCTGATTCTCTTATTTCAAATTTGCTGGAGTTGATATAGCTCAATCTAAGTTAAACACTAACCAACAATCAATGTGTTTTTAATCTAGAAACTCAAGAATGTTCCTTGTTATTTGTTAGTAAAAATGAATAAAAACACTGACAAATTCATTTCTTACTGCTTTCTGTGATACTGCCCGGGTGCTGAGACCGAAGAAGGTGGTCTTCTTAGGGCGCCACACCCCGAGCCTTTGACCTAAAGGTCTGATCCACAAGGCAGTGGAGCATCGTAAGGAGATGCAGTCCTATGGTAGCTGGTGACCAACGATTAGTTCATACGCCATTTATTCTCTCAGGATACTGGAGACAGCCTATGTGCACCATTGGTTCGGAATCCCGCTAAAGCTTCAGATATTCGTTTTTCGTTCTCTCATTTTCGTAAACAACACCCGCCACGAGAAGGCAGTGGGTAGTACATCCCTGGCAGTGGCTGTATACGCGTGGCCGTGTGAGAACTTTTCGAGAGGGAGGCAGGGCCCTCCCCACTCTCGGCCGCACCAGGGCATTTGGGGGCTAATAGGTAATTTTTAATGCTTTTAAAGATCGCTCTCCGAAAATACGAATTATAGGTCCTAGAATTTAAGTTTATGCATGTCATTAAAAGATCTAATAGCGATTAAAACAGTATCTTTGTTGCATAGATTTGGATGGTGATTTTTAGAGATAAACCATTTTCTAACACATTTGGAGTGGTGAGCCACTAAGTTTCAGGTCCACACCTCATTCTACATACTTCGGTTTGGTCAATGGATGATTATAATTAACTCGAAGCCAAGTATATGAATATCTGTACCTAATAAACGAATTGATCACTAATATATGTCACTGATATATTTTGCTTTTAAAACTGAACGCAATATCTATCACTACAAACGAGAAAGAAACAATCCATCATAATATTGTGTAAAGAAAACTATTATTGAAGTGGTCATTAATTGAGTTAAACAATTTGCCACTAACTTTTCTATTTTTACGATTTCCTGTCGTTAATATATTTAAGGCTATAGTTTGTTCAAAGTGTTTACTCAGTCAGTCAGCTACAACGTAAGACCAGGCACATATATGCATCGATCCAAGTTGCCACACCTCACTCATTCGCACAACAACATGAACACCAAATCCATAGAAGTAACTACATCAATGGTAGTAATATATAGAAGAAAGATTGTGTATGAATGTATAGTACAAGAAGAATGAATTAGTTCACAGAAAGAAAGATATAAAGCAATTTTAATCTCACAGTTTAAGGGAAGACAAAGAAAAGAGTGTATATACCTATACCATTATGATCGATTCTGTGAACCGTGTCATCTACAGTCTCCAACCACTAGTTATGATAGTCATGCAAGCCTGAACCAAGTAGTCTGCATCTACTAACATGGCTCAGATTACAAGTTAATGACGTTATGGACCAATGCCACGTTTTGGTTTGGTTGCCACTAACTTTCGTCCATCCGTCTTCAACACTAGTTAGCATTGCGCGTTGTGGTAATCGGTGTTCAGGCATACGTAACACATGGCCCAACCATCTCAGTCGATCAAGATTTACAACCCCATAAACTAATTCGCTATCATTCTCTGATAACCTGCGCGTCTAACCTCACTATTAATTACACGGTGATTCCAGAAGATGAGAGCAATATTTCTCAGACATCTGTGATCAAATAATAGTAACCTACGATTATCTTCTACTCTTAATGTCCACGTTTCGCAGCCGTAAAGTAACTGGAAAATACTGATCAAATAACCATGCGATTATATGCTACTATCATCGTATATCACTAGATCATGAATAACATTAAAGCAATCAAGGTCTTAATTCATTATTCACACCTTCTTCCCTCTGCACTCCTTCAGCTTTCCAAATAATAATATTTTTAAAGATGATATAATCGTTTATTGTTTTAGCATGGATATCGAAACCAATAATTTGTTCGGTGATTACCACTTTTAATGACAATAAGCTCTGATAATCATTTTATCGCAAGTTCAGATTCAAAATCGTACGTAGTTACATACTAAGATGATTTGTTTTTCAGTTTGCTATATCTTTATTTATATTTGAGGGAAAAAAATGTGTGTACATCGAAACACTAAATACTTACTTACGCCTCTTACCCCCAGTGGAGCATAGGCCTCCGATCAGCATTCTCCAACCCACTGTGTCATGGGCCTTCCTCTTTAGTTCTATCCAACTATTATTCATTCTTCTCATGTCTATCTCCATTTATCAGCGTAATGTGTTGTTTAGTCTTCCTGTCCTCCTTTGGCCTTGAGGATTCTATGTGAGGACTAGCCTTGTGATGCAGTTCGGTACTTTCCTCAATATGTGTCTTGTCCACTTCAAACGCTTCTTCTTCCTGATTTCTTCCTCTACTGGAATCTGGTTTGTTCTCTCCCACAGTAGATTGTTGCTGTAGCAAACTAACTCGCTTAAAAAAAAACACTAAATACACACCTCGATAACACTTAAACTAATCACAATCTTCTTAATATTCATAGTTATACCCTCAAAATTTATCGTTAGGGCTAAGCTCAAAAACTATCATCTTTTTAATGGTAGTCGAATGAATTAACCTATGATAGGTCTGAGTCAATCCTATATTTAAGCCTATTCTAACAATCAGAAAACAGAAAAAGTATAAATTAGGGATTCATAACAAATGCTAGAACTAGGATTTAAACTTTAAAATTATAATCTATGTATCCAACTATTCGTTCAATCAATTTGTTTCTAAACAACAACAACAACAACAAAATAAAGATTTTTCTCCCTTTTTTTTTCTTACATTTGTTTTTCAGAACATGTTTCTATGCTCCATTGTTACCATGTGATTATTGTTCATCATGCTTTCATTTAGAATGTTTAAATCCACCATTATCACATTTTCCACCACGTTCTGATCGATGGATGTGTCCAAATCATATAGAACATATAACTGAACGTTATTTAATTCGTTCAATACGATTAACTGAACGTATGCAAATTTGGACTAAATTATATTCATCATTAAATAATAAATATAATAATGATGAACAATATATTGATAAAACTAATGAAATAACAAAAATACTTGAACATATACCACCATATGAATTAACATATACACCAGATGAAGAAAGTTCCATACTTTCTGATTTAATGCGTACTATTCAACGTAGTAGAAATGAACAACAACAACAGCAGCAACAACAACTACAACAGTATCAGTTATTATCATCGAATTTATCCAATACAGCAATGTCAAGTATTTTCGATTCTATACTATATACTACTACTAATAATAATACTAGTATTAAAGATAAACAACATATATTGTCCAATCGTCATTTATGGCGTTTAAATCGTGAATTAGCAGCAAAGTCTAGAAATAATCAAAATTATTATGGTAAACAGATAAGAATTGTGGTAAGTATTCTATCGTTTTATGTGTATATGTTTTAATAGTTGAAATCATTAGTTAATTGAAACTAGACCACTATGAAAAACCTGAAAGCATTGGATGACCGTTTCGTCCTAGTATGGAACTTCTCAGTAGTGCGCATCCAAGATTCCGTCCCCCGCGAGATTCGAATCCAGGACCTATGTATATGTTTGTTGAATGTTCTACAGCTTATTAAAAAAGAAGATAAGTGATTTATCAAAACACACACTTGTGTTTACTGTAGCATCTAATGATACTGATAAGCTGAGAAAACGGACATAGATGTCATAAAATCAGGAATCTACTATTAATCCAATGCTTAAACCGTGTTGATATGGAGGATCGATCCGTGAAAGTTAGAAAATGTTTAAGGTACAAATGATATATGAACCTATTGTTAGCTATCAGCTACCATGTGACGTTGCTCCTCTGCATTATGGACTAGACCTGTAAGCCGATGGTTAGGGTTATGGCTTCCTAAGAAAACCACCTGTGTCGGTCTGGGAACCCGAGCAGTATCACAACCCACACACAAATCAAGTAACTTGTGTGGCGCACATGTACTCGTTTCCCCTTTTTGTACTAATACTTATGTGTTTAAATAAATAACTTTGAAATACCGATCTACCTCTTATTCTATTGTCGGACCAATCAGTGTAAAATTTTAATAGTTTCTTATATTCAAAAACCAAAGTACTGTTTTCTGATATCACTGAAGCATAGTAGAATAACAAACATTGATGTATGGGTGCGAATAATAAAGTGATTGATTGATTGCTGTTGGATTGTGTCGGCTTGTTGTCGGTTTTTAATGTGGAAATATATTTACATTCTAATCAGGCTAATTACGTGTTCTTGATCTGAATGGTGTTGAAGTCCTGTAGAATAGATACTGGGAGAGGGGATCCAGTGTAGATATTCATCTAAAGTAAATTAATTTTAATGTTTTGAATAATGTTAGGAGGAATAATAGGAATTGAAGAGGAAGGTTGATTATGAATACAGTGGTTTTGAGTGCTGTTAGAGGTATGAGGGCGGTTATCACTTCCGGGTTGCCCACATCATGGAAGGGTTCGTCTGGAGGTACCTGAAAAGGAAATTTGATTAGAGGTGGTCTTAGTGACCCGAGAGCGTGACCGCAGTGCCCAAGGGACAACTGCTTGACGTCGGTCACACACGACCTTTTTATGAGTAGTTTTTGTGTTAGCTCCGTACTTGTTGAGACCTTACCGCCGGAGACGGATATCCGTGGAATAAGGCGAGGTGTATATTTTTACGTTCGACCTTTTCTAACCCCACCGTCCCCTGTGGAAAGGCAGCATCGCTGTTATGCTAGTTGTCTGAAGGAAACACCTTATTGCTATCACACCTCTGTACAGTCAGCAGTACGAGTTCGCCTTCAAACCTTGGGTTCGTTGCTTGTAGTCTTACCGCTCTTCAACCGACCTGTCTGACATGGTAGGACCATGAGGAGCGGTTGTTCCAACCAGTACAGTTCGGTTGCTTGATCACGACAGGCAAGCCCGACCACCACGTCAAGGTAGCAACAACGGTTGAGTTTGAATAATGTTACTAATTCAATTTTAGTATTTATATCCTTTATAAGGTATATCTACACTTTTTATCCCTTATCTATCAAGGTACCAAAAGCAGTTAAACATTTATACAATAATCCAGTGAAACGAATTCCACGTATTAATGAATCATCAAATGTATGTCAATTAACAAATTTACTCGATAGTTCTAGTACAGATGAAAAGAATATAGTAAGCTTGTCTTTTTCTTTTTAATTCCTTCTATTATTGTTATGGTTTTGAGTTTATGTTTGATTTGTTTGTTATTTCTTTATTTCTAGATTATCTTTCTGTTTTGATCCATTGTTACTTCCAATGGATGAGTATATTTTATTTCACCGGGTGAATAATAGTGAGGTTAGACGCGCAGGTTATCAGAGAATGATAGCGAATTAGTTTATGGGGTTGTAAATCTTGATCGACTGAGATGGTTGGGCCATGTGTTACGTATGCCTGAACACCGATTACCACAACGCGCAATGCTAACTAGTGTTGAAGACGGATGGACGAAAGTTAGTGGCAACCAAACCAAAACGTGGCATTGGTCCATAACGTCATTAACTTGTAATCTGAGCCATGTTAGTAGATGCAGACTACTTGGTTCAGGTTTGCATGACTATCATAACTAGTGGTTGGAGACTGTAGATGACACGGTTCACAGAATCGATCATAATGGCGTAGGTATATACACTCTTTTCTTTGTCTTCCCTTAAACTGTGAGATTAAAATTGCTTTATATCTTTCCTTCTGTGAACTAATTCATTCTTCTTGTATTATACATTCATACACAATCTTTCTTTGATATATTACTACCATTGATGTAGTTACTTCTATGGATTTGGTGTTCATGTTGTTGTGCGAATGAGTGAGGTGTGGCAACTTGGATCGATGCATATATGTGCCTGGTCTTACGTTGTAGCTGACTAAATGACAACACTTTTGCACAGAATCCATAACAGAACAAATTGATTAATATCAGTAATGATTTGTTAGGATTTACACTTTCAAGACTAACTGATCAATCTCTATTGTCATGTTTTGTCTCATGAGCTTATTACTTTTACATAGTGTTATTCCACAGATTTTAGTTATACGTTTTTATAAGTACAATCTAGGATAAACGTTTCGAGACTTAATAATCCATCATACCATACGTTGGGAGTTTGAGGCAAACGATTACTGTGTTAGAATTTTAATGTGAACATAAATACTGGGATAAAATTACAAATACGACGAAATGCCTGTTCTTAAATTTCATTGCTAATTACATTACAAATTTACTGAAAATCAATAGTAATTTATTGGAAAGAGGAAATGTTATTTTATACAAAGATTGGGGAAAGTTAGCTCTGCCACATGAAATGCTCTAATATGGTCACAGCTATAGAACCACTGTCACGGAAATTCTACTCATTTCCTCGCCAAGGACGTATTGTTTACGAAATTGAGAGGACGATAAGCGAATGTCCGGCGCTTCAACCGGGTTGGTGGAGATGGAGAACCTACCTAGGGCAGTTGGAAAACTCTGATTTCAAATAACTGGTGCACATGGGTTACAGGATCCTGACGGAACAAAAGCCGTATGAATCTATTGTTGGTCACCGGTTACCATGTAACTGCATCTCATAACGTTTCCCCACTGTCTTGTAGATTAGACCTGTAGGTCAAAGGTTCGGGGAGTGACCCTCTACGAAAACCATCTGTTTCGGTTTTGGCAGGTGGGCAGTATAATAGCCTACACACAAATCAATTGACTTATGTGGCGCACATGTATTCGGTGCCTTCTTGTACCAATTTTTAAATGTTTAGACAAATAATAAAATAAATATTTAACTGTAAAGTAAAAGTACTTAATTTTAAAATACCCCATTTTTTCGCATTGAGTTCCTTATAAGATTCTGATCTGACAGTTGAACGACACGTGAAATCTTTAATTCAAGGCATTAGATTCGACTAAAAAATTGGTATTAATAAGGACTCAGTAAGTAAGTGGCTTTTGAACCGAACGGTACTGGGTTCGAGTCCCGGAGTGAACATCAACTCTGGGATGCAGGTACATCCAGCTGACGAGTCACAAATAGGACGAAATGCGCGTCCTGGATTTCACTGCAAGCCAATACCCATCTTTGCTTAAAAAGCTTCTGACTTAAGACTATATCGAGGCAATCCGCACAGAATGCCCATGTGCGAACATGAGACTGATCAATTGCAGTCCTAAATAACAATAGAAAGATACAAGTAAAACAACACCAAGTGAAAGAAAACAATTTTGTTTACAAACATTGAATCATAAGATATCAAAGGTGTTAGTAACTTTTCGAGATATAGTCAATAAGAAGATACGTTCTTTGAGCGATTGCATTAGGATTCAGTTTAACATAACGAACCTGTGTCAGATTAGTACTGTGGTGTATGATACTGATGTTGACAGATACATGTATTAAGTATCATCAATCGAAAGTGAAATGCCTGATGACAGAAAAGTAAGAAGATCGAAGGAAATAGAACGAGAACAGAGAATGATTGATGTGGAAACGAAAGAACAATGAAGTTTGAGACGATTGATTGACATTTTACAAATGAAGTATTTACTGTATGGTTCTCAGATTTTACTAAGATACTCTGTAGTTGTGTGTTGAAATACATATGATTGTCCCCAAATGTGTTCTCGTTCACTACAGTTATGCTACCACTTAACGAACTTTAACAAAACTTCTTTCGAATTAACAAGTTTTCAATGAATAATACACGTAATGAATGCTAAGTAGTGAATTTGATAGAGAGGAATAAACGCCATAAATTTCCAGTCAATCATTTAGTTACAACATAGGATCAGGCACATATATGCATCGTTCCAAGTTGCCACACCTTACTCATTAGCACATCAACATGAACACCAAATTCATAAAAGTAGTTACTTCAGCGGTAGTGATATAGAAAAGAAAGATTGTTTATAAGGATATAATACAGGCATAAAATAGTTTGGATCTCACAGTTTAAAGGAAGACAAAGAGTGTATACACCGACGTCATTGTGATCGACTCTGAGTTACTTCATCCAGTGTCTCCAACCACTACTGGTTACGCTAGTCGCTCGAACCCCAACCAATTAGTTTGCATCTACCAACATGGCTAATACTAGACATACGTAACACGTAGCCGTAAATTTTAAGTGTTTTTAGAACAATTTTTAGTGTGAATTAATAAACTCATTGGTGTTTATTCAATTCTTCCATATAGAGTAAGTTGAGATTGATTAATTACTGAATAGTGACCAATGTCATGTTTGTTTAATCTTTAGTACTGATTGAATTCTGTCGATCATGTTCCAATATGAACACTAATCTGAGTGATTGAACATGATATAGACATTAAGTTGATGCCAAGTAGTTGAAGGTAGTCAACAGGAAATCTCATTCTACGTAGATTTCATGCTAGTTGGTACTTGTCAATAAGATGTTTCTTCAGTTTAGAGAGAAATAACTCTCACTCTCTAATAGATTCAAGTCAAGATCGTTTGGTTTCGAGTTCATAGTTTCCTATCAACTACCTGCAATCGCCTAATGAATAAAATTTGTCTATTCTTATTAATTATTCAATCGGCGCGGATCGGTAAAGCAAAAGCAGCATATTTACAACTTAATTACATCTGGAACTCAAAACAACTGTCAACCAACACTAAGGTCAGGATTTTCATTACAGATGTCAAGACAGTTCTACTGTATGTGGCAGAAACCTGGAGAACTACGAAAGTCATCATCCAGAAGATACAAGTGTTTGTTAACAATTGTCTACGCAAAATACTTCGGATCTGTTGGCCAGACACTATCAACAACAACCTACTATGTGAGAGAACAAACCAGATCCCAGCGGAGGTAGGAATCATGAAGAAGCGTCGGAAGTGGATAGGAGACACACTGAAGAAAGCACCCAACTGCGCCACAAGACAAGCCCTCACATGGAATCATCTAGGCCAAAGAAGAAGAGGGAGACTAAGGAACACATTCCTCCAAGAAATGGAGATAGACATGAGAAGAATGAACAAAAATTGGATAGAACTGGACAGGAAGCATCAGGACAGAGTGGGTTGGAGGATGCTGATCGGCTGCCTATGCTCCATTGGGGGTAACAGGTGTAAGTAAGTAAATGTGTAATTATTCAATCGTTTATTGATTATATTCTAATAATCTTGAATTGATTACAATCCTTTGCTTTGATTTACATTTCTTGTTCGTTTTCTATTTCATTGTAAACTAAAGTTTGTTCGTGGACTTTTACAATTTTATTTACAAAATACATTACAATTACCTACACAATCGTCAAATCCAATACAACCAGATAGTAGTAGTACAATGATTACTGATACTAGTGATACTATTGTCACTACTAATACATCACAACTGTCAATATCGTCATCATCATCATTCGAAACAACTCCTATCACTGTAACAACGACAACAACAACAACAGCTATTGACAACCACCTCAATGATAATAATACATCTAGTTCCTTCATAATAGATGACAAGACAACTGATAGATTGAAGCTGACTACAGATTCAATTGGAATGGACATTAGCAACAATTTATCGACATTGTCATACAATATAAAACAAATATCTAAAGGTCCTTCCTTTATTCAAGATGATAACGAACATTTGTGTAACTCCTTAGAACAATTGAATACAGTAATTATGAAGAAATTCAATAATGTTACTGATAATAATAGTAGTAAGTTAAAAGGGAAAATATTTTATTAAATTGTTTTTTCAACAATGTTTTCTGTGAATTATATTTCGAATAATCCAGTTACACATGCACACACACATGTGAAGGTTATGACTCGAAATGCTCTCACATGGCTACGTGCATACAACCACTGTCAGGAAAGTCCTACTCACTGTCTTCTCGTGGCATTACTGTTGTTTACGAAATTGAGAGCACGAAAGGCGAATGTCCGACGCTTTAACGGGTTTGGTGGACACGGAGAGTTCACCTAGTGGAGTTGGAAAACCACCATCCCAAACCAATGGTGCGCATGGGCTACAGGATCCTAAGGAACCAAATGGCGTACGAATCTATTGTTGGTCACTGGCTAACATGCGACTGTGTCTCCTAATGTTGCTCCCCTGTCTTGTAGATTAGAACTGTAGGTCCAAGGTTTGGGTAGTGGTCATCTACGAAAACCACCTGCTTCGGTTCGGGCACCCGGGCAGTATCACAGCCCTCACACAAATCAATTGAGATTCGTGTGGCGCATATGTATTTGGTGCCTCCTTGTACCAATACCTATGTGTTGAAATAAATATAATAAATAAAAGAAATTATCAAGGGGGAAGATTCAATGTTTTTGTAATCATAAAACAGGCTTGACAATGCTTATACAACCTTTAAAAGCTGTTTTTTAGGTCAATTGTACGACATATTTTAGTCATGTGTTTCGTTGTCGAGGTGTATGTTTTTTTTCTACTCATTATTTTCATCATGGTACTTGACGCTAATTCTTTATTAAATCTACTTAGGCACATGTTTAACATTATTCAGAAACATTCCATTTTGACATTATATGGACTTTTACAAGCATTCGAATCACAGAGTGAACATCAACTCTAAGATGCAAATACATCCAGGCTGACGAGTCCTAAATAGGACGAAATGCGCGTTAAACTGGATTCCATCTGTTAACCACTATTCATATTTGTTTATGAATCAGTTATATAAAATAAAATATCTTTCTATGTTCAAATTCTATTTTCATATTTAGTTCCTTCTAAATTGGCTCGTTTAGACCCTCAATTATTGTATACATTAGCAGCACAACGTATTTATGATCTTTTGGGTGTTAACAATCAAAATTCTATTTTTCCTAATGACGATAATATTGAACGGAATATTTGTAAACGAAAGAAAGACTCTTCTAAAACATTAAATATACCTGAAAGTTGTATCCGTGCAAGAGCTGTATTAACACCTTGTGATGGTACTAGTGGATATGAAACTCGAATGCATTATAGGCAACTGACTGTTGGTACATGTAAGTTTTGTTTTTAGTTTCATATCTTAACTGTTTATAATTAACAAGTTTACTTATTACAAAATGTATTCTAAAAAATCAGTTACATCAATTTTTAATATACTTCTTTACTTACTCTCGTCATCGACCGTCGTGAAGGAGTATAGGCCGCCCACCATCACTCTCGATCCGAATTTGTTCTGAGCAATCCTATCCAGTTGTTTCCTATTGCTATTCATCCTTTTAATATCTGTTTCCAATTCCTGACGCATTGTGTTCTTCGGCTTTCCTCTTTTCCGTTTCCCTTGAGGATTCCAGGTTAACGCTTGCCGCGTAATGCAGTTTGATGATTTCTGTAGTGTGTCTTATCCACTTTCAGCGTCTTTTCGAGTCCCACTAACTTCTTGTGAGAATGAGATATTTACATTCGTTGATGACTTAGCAATAGTAAGTAATGTCATATTTTTTTAATCCCTCAAACTGATTATGCTATGTTGATTAAGTTACAAATAACATGAAATGTAGATGCTTAGTTTCCTGTTGATTACCTGTAAACCATCTAACATCAAAATATGGTACACACTATGTTAAGTTACTAAAACAAGTGGTGGCTACATTGAAACTTGATTGATAGAGTTCAATCAGCAAATAAATGATCCAGGAAAACACAACATGAATCACAACTCAGTGATTAATCAGCACAACTAACTATCTATAATGTTCTAAAACTCGGGTTGGTGGATATGGAGGATCCACCTAGGGAGGTTGGAAAACTTTGGTTCCAAACCAGTGGTGCACATGGGCTCCAGTATCCTCAAGGAACAAATGGCGTGTGAACCAATTGTTGGTCACTGGCTATCGTGGGACTGCATCTCTTAGCGTTGCTCCACTGCCTTGTGGACCAGACCTTTAGTGTTAAGACTCCGTATGTGGTGGCTGCCTAAGCAAACCACCTGGTTCTGTCTGAGCACCCTTCAGTCAGGCGTGATTTTAGTGAACATGCGTCAGCTTAGTGGCTTTTTAATCATATTTAAAGGTTTGTGGAGTTCGTTTTGTATGTGAGAGTAATTTTCATTATGAACTGACACATCTATTGACAATTTTTTTATTAATCGGTGATGGTTACATCAAAGACAGTGTTTCATGAAGGTTAACACCTGTACAATTATCATCAGTATCTTGAAGCACAATACAGAGAGGTCTCCGAATATCTTCATTTCAGAGAAGGAGGGGTACTAAGTCTTGTAAACATAGAGTCAGAAATAACCTCATGAAAACGTTGTATACTCGACTGTTTACAGCCAAATTCATATCATCTCATATGTATCATCAGCTCTTACATTATTAACTAGATATATAATCCCCGTAACCATTTCTTAGGTCTTATTGCAATTAATGACTTGAGGCACAGATTTCTTCCGGCTAATAGTTCAGAGCACATCTCATACTTGTTATTTATTTATTCAAACAGAAACATTTATACAACGAGGTATCAGACAGATATGCGCCACATAAACGATTGGATTTGTGTGAGGGCTGGAATATTGCCTGAGTACCCAAACCGAAGCAGGTGATTTTCGACCTAAAGGTCTAATCCACAAGTTAGTGGAGCAATGTCAGGAGATACAGTCACAGGGTAATCGGTGATCAATAATTGGTTCATACGCCACTGGTTCCTGGAACCAATGTACACCATTTGTTTTGTAGTGAGGGTTTTCCAACTCCCCTAGGTGAATCTTCCATATCCGCCAACCCAGTTCAATCACCTGATATTCTCTTTTTATCCTCTCAATTTCATAAACAACAGTAGTGCCATGAGAAGGTAGTGAGTAGGACTTCCCTGACAGTAGTTGTGGTAGCATTTTAAGAAGGGTAGCTGACTCTCCCAACCTTCGACCATATCAGGGCATTCAGAGACCTTATACTTGTTAACATTGATCATCAACTGATTAGGAACTATTCCCTAATATATTATATCATACATTTCACTAATGATTTTTATATCACATTTAAAGTTTATACATTTACATTCTTTTTCTTCTACTGAACTTTCTCTATAGCACCAGATTGTCATTTGTGTTTAGCTAATTATGATTTATCTTCATTACATAATCAAAAATGTTCATTTATATCACCACATCATGCTACAATCTTCTATGATGATTGGACACAACATTATGAATTAATTAATTATAGTGAATATGGTACACGTGTAGATGGTATTATATATGGAAATGATATAGATAGAAAATCAATTTATATTCCAGAAGTAAGTTTAATGTTTTCTTTTATTTAAATAGAACTTTCAATGTTTAAGATCATGAGTTATTTGATGCTAGATCACCATTGGAAGACTTGAAAGTACTGAAATAGCCATTTTGTCCTATTGTTTGACTCCTCAATAGTACACATCCATGATCTCGCCACGTGAGATTCGAACTCAGGATCTATCAATCTCATGCGCGAGCACTTAACTATTGGACCACTGAGCTGGCCGGCATCCAACGGTGTTAATGTCTAACTTCAACTAATCCGTGAAGTTTAGCAAACTATTATAATAATGATCTAACTATAATTTATGAATGAGCCAATCAGGTCTTGGATTTTCGGCGCCAAATTCATTCATTCAGTTTGATTAAATAGAGTTTTGGCATGATAACTTATATCGTTTCTTAATGTAAACCTTAAATATAATTCTTCACATTAGTGTATAACTCTCATTTAGTTCTAGTTAGTAGGTGAACATTCTCAAGGTCACTTTAATGTTGGTCAAAGGTCGTCCATAATTTATGGTCTCACCGAAAATTCTTTTCATTGTCAAGAATGATTTGTTCATGTGATGATGAAATCGACTTATTAGCATTTCACTTTATATCAGAAGGAGGTTTTGTGGAAGTTGTAGTAATTTGTCGGTTGAGATCATGAATCAGTTAAAGCTAGATCACCACAGAAAATTGCCAGGTTTGAAGCGATTACGAGTTCACTTAGACTACGAACGGAAACAAAGACTTATGACCAAAAACCAACATGCTAGCTATTTGATGCGTCTCAGCCCCGCTAACTAGAGGAAGAAGTCCAAGTTTGGAATGAGGAGGTATATTCCCCAAACAGCCAGAAACAAGCGATAACAACAAACACAAATCAAAACGTATATATATACAGCACAGAACCGTCCTTGGAGAGAGTTACAAAATACCATACTAAAAAACACAATGGTTCAATAGCATTTAAGATTCTCCCAAGTTAAGAATATTTGAGCGAACAATTGTTTTCAATAACTTCATCATCAGGCTCTACAGTTATAAGTCCATAATTATTGTGATATTTTACAAAGGCCAAAAATAAGGCATGTATTAATGAAATTTGACAATGTTATGTGTTAAAAAATTAATGCACTTTTGCAAGTGTTGGAAATACAACATGAAGGTGAAAAGAGCGCCTTTTGCTCGAAAACAAAGAAATTCAAATTTTCTGAATAAAATTACAAAATTAGGTCCTTGTGGGACTCCCCAGCAGTGCGCATCCATGACCCCCTCGTGGGATTCGAACCCAGGTTAAGCCATTATTAATACAAAACAGTCCAGTAGTAAGTGAATAATTAATTAACAATAATTCTGGTACAATAAAGCACTAACAATTAATAAATTAAATGGAAATCTTGTAATTTTAGTAGTTGAGATCGTGAGTCATTTGAAGCTAGACCACCATAGTAAACCAAGAAGCACTTGTCATGGATGCGAACTGCTGAAGAGTCCCACAGTAGAACGAAAAGACCATCCAGTGCTTCCAGGTTCTCCATGGTGGTCCAGCTTTAATTGACTCATGATCTCAACTATTAAAATTACTATCATATCCACAAAAACCCTTTCTGATAGAAATCTTGTAGTTAGGACAATGTGAACATAAGATGATGGAACAGATTTGTAGCTCAGGTGGATGATTTAGGTGGAATTTTGTTCTCTAATCTGAATACTTTGATCGTGAAGCTTTTATTATTCTTCTGAATAAAATCATCAATACAAACTTCAGGTAGAAGTGAAAATGCAATTATTTAAATATCAGAAGGAGTTTTGTGGACAATATAGTAATTTTATTAGTTGTGATCATGAGTCGATTGAAGCTAGACCACCATGAAAAACCTGGAAGCACTGCACTTCCGTTTCGTCTTGCCTCAGTGGTCTAGAGATTAAGCGCTCGCGTGCGAGACTGACAGGTCACGGTTTCGAATCTCACGAGGTGGGATCATGGATGCGCATGATTGAGGAGTCCCACAATAGGACGAAACATCCCTCCAGTGCTCCCATGTTTTCCATTCTGGTCTAGCTTCAATAGACTCATGATCTCAACTATTAATAAGTAGTTATAGAATAGTTTTAAAATGCTCCATATGTTTCTAAAATATCCACTAAAGTAGATGGAATAAAGCTTGAATGTTCGATTTACTACCGGTTGGAAGTTATAGTACTTTAGTCTTTCATCTGTTGCTGTCTTATGATGAATCTATTTTCCTGAAATCAATTATTTAACAACAATAGTTTGTAGTTGTTATTGTTTTTGACGTTAGACGAAATAAGATCTCCAGGCAATAAGAAATACTCATTCAATTAGGTAGTCAAAGATGATGTAGAACCTGGTACATGTATATATCAGGACAATTCTTAAAAAAGAATCAAAACAGCTAGCTGAAATTGTCAAACAGGAGATCGGAGTAGTAGTAGTCGTGGTAGTAGTAATATCAGTGGCAATAAAAAGCAGACATAAAGAATACAATTCGAGAGTGATTTCACTTTTCAGGACCTCAGCGAATACAGTTTGACTATTAGAAACAATTTTGAGCCGTGTCACGAAACGTTTCTAGCCACTGATCTTAGTTATTATATGAACCTCAATCATGTAGTTTGCACCTACCTATCAACATAACCCAGTCCAATAGTAAATAGATCCGTGGACTGATTCCATATCTTGGTTTGTCTACAACTGGCGATAGGACACGTTGGTACTATTGGTTAATCAATTAATGTAATTTGTTTTCTGCTTTATTCATTATGTTCTAGATCTCTGATGTACAATTACTACTCCCCATCTTTCTCTCTCTCTCTCTTCATATACAAACATATTTTTAGTCTTCCGATCTAGTTCATCAAGTTCGTAATCTCATAAAAACTGCTCCTAAAGAATTATCACCAAATTATCAAACATCATCGGTTATTTCGGAACTGTGTGCTTCGCCGCCTAAACGACTAATGAAAATGTTAAGTAAACGACATGAAGTAAGTTGTTTTCTACCATAATTACCTTTTCCACTTAAGTGAAATATATTTCAGTCGTTGAGATCATGAGTTATATGAAGCTAGACCACCATGGAAAACCTGGAAACACTAGAAGGCCATTTCGTCCTATTTTGGGGCTCTTCAGCAGTTTGCATCCACGATCCCATCGTACCCAGGACCTATTGGTTTCGCACGCGAACGCTTAACCACTGGACCACTGAGCCGGCCGGCATTCAACGGTGTTAATGTCTAACTTCAACTAATCACGAAATACAGCGACACATCCACCATTGTCTTCAGTAAGTTACTATCTCAATAGGACAAAACGGCCATCCAGTGATTCCACGTTTTCCATAGTATATATATATATATATATATACAGACTGAAAAAGTAAGGCATTGTAGTTGTCTAATTAAATGTCTTCCAGTAAATTGACAAGAAGTCATTGACCTCTAGACTTAACATTCAACAAAAAATCATATTAACACTTTGGAATGCTTGCATGCTCCTCTATGAATTTAAATGAATGTTATTCAATAGAATTTGGTTAAAGATATCATCATGGAAACCCGTTCACTGAGATCTTAATCGGTTGTAAGATAAACTCACTCATTTATTACAATTTCTTTATTTCATTTAAATACGTGAATCTTGATACAAGGAGTTATCAAACAGATATGCTCCACATAAATCATCCAATTTATGTGAGGGCTAGAACACTGCCACACACACAGGTCTTATTCACAAGTTAGTGGAACAACGTCAAGAGATACAGTCCCATGGTAGCCAGTGATCAACAATAAGTTCATACACCCCTCAGGATACTGGAGCTTATGTGCACCGTTAGTTTGAAATGAGTATATCTTCAACTATCCTAGGTAGATTCTTCATATCCACCAACTCAGTTAAAGCGTCGAACATTCGCTTTTCGTCCTATTAACAACATTATTTATTTATTTATTTATTTTAACACATAAGTATAGGTACAGGGAGGCACCAAGTACATATGCGCCACACGAATCTCAATTGATTTGTGTGAGGGCTGTGATACTGCCCGGGTGCCCAAACCGAAGCAGGTGATTTTCTTAGGGGGCCACACCCTGAGCCTCCGACCTGAACGTCTGACCCACAAGGCAGTGGAGCATCGTGAGGAGATGCAATCCCATGGTAGCTGGTGAACAACGATTGGTTCATACGCCATTTGTTCTCTCAGGATACTGGAGCCAGCCCATGTGCACCATTGGTTTGGGGTCCGGTTAAAGCGCCAGACATTCGCTTTTCGTCCTCTCATTTTCGTAAACAACACCCCCGCCACGAGAAGGCAGTGAGTAGGACTTCCCTGGCAGAGGCTATATACGCATGGCCATGTGAGAGCATTTCGAGAGGGAGAGCGGACTCTTCCACTCTCGGCCGTACCAGGGCATTTGTGGGCTTATTAACAACAACCTCTTAGCGACAATGTAGTAAAAGTAGGATTTTTCAGTTGTATTCATATGGTCATTTCAAAAAGGAGAATTGACTCTTCCTATTCTCAGCCATTATTATTACTGAACGTATAACTTACACCTTGGTTTCATCATTTCGTTCCTTATTTTACCATTTCTCTTTTGTATACTTTACCAGGATTTATCACATATTACATCTATATGTGATTGTACAAGTTTATATTTTAATCATAATGACAAATTTCAAAATTTATTCAATAACAATACTGATCTAATAGATAAAACTGATTCATTAGATCTTATTACTGGTTGGGAAGGTCCTGCTATTTTAAGACATGGTTCAATAATACAATTTGGTTGTTATAAATTTATTTTTGGTTTAGTCAGTCATTCTTTACCCACATATTCATCATCATCGTCATCGTCAAGTTCATCAACGATGACAATGATAAATAATTCAACACAATCTTCTCATGAATCACAAATACTACTTACAGATTCTTTATCATTAACAAAAGATTTTTTAAAATTATCTAAAAATAACAATTTACTTGTTCATTAATTTTCTAATTTATTTATTAAAACAAACAAAAAGAAAAGAAAAACAAGAAACAAAAAACGAAAAAAAAAAGAGAAAAACAAAATAAACAGTATTATCATTCCTATGAATTTATACTACTTATAAACTACTTATAAGAATCAATGATATATATATATATATATATATATATATATATATCCGTATCTCTATAATTTTGTATATTTGTGTTATATGAGATTTATTATTACAATTATTATTACATTTTAACTACATAAAATCTCATTTACCATTCATTGTCTTAATCTGAAATGTAAATGATGATTGTGTTGTAACTTGTGAATTGAATGCTTACTTGTTATATCTGGTCATCGCTGATTACTGTGTCGAAAAAACACTGATCACTTATACTCGGAACAAAGGGACCTTCACAATTTCTACAATGCGAAAGTAAGAACACAAAGACTGGTATAAGTGGAATGTCTATTAACCTCAAAAACACGACGACGACGACCTTAGTTGAAAATACACTCATTTATATATATTGATTCTTACACCCATTTTGAATAATAATTAGGATGACTTCACATATGGAGCATAGTTCATGTCAATTGAATACAAGAATATCGTATACTATACATAATAAAATATCACAAATACTATACTGAATGACTATCACATTGAATCAGAATGAAAGTGATGTTGAATAAACCTCATAATGAGTAAATCAGTTAAATCTTGACTTTTCTTCCCATCATCTCACCTTCCCTTCTTTTTTTTTTTAAAGTCTCAAAGTTTAGATCTTGACTTTATCCTCCCGCCCCCCCCCACGAAATAATGTTGGGTTATAGTTAGTGTGATTCTATTTAAAACATATTTCCTGCATTGAGTAGAGAGACCACTAGAACTGATTAGATGGTAAGAATCGGCGATACCTGATATGAGATCGATAAGTTTTGATTCTTCTGAATCATTTTTATTAGTAGATAATCGATCATTAGAATAATCAGTAACTATCAAAATTTTATTAGCCTCTTGATCATTGTTTGATGCATTTGACCTATTTTTCTCATTTTTATAAGAATTTCGATCAGAAGCATGTCAGTCATTATGATAACTCATATCTGATAAAAACAACTAGAGAACTTCAATAAGTAGATTCATCAGGAACTTTTGTTCTGGAATGATGAGCTTCATTTGATGCAACTGTCTTCATAATGCTGCTTGATTCATTTTCTGTCTCTTTGTGGGCGGGTTCTAAAATAATTTCATGAGCATTAAATAAGACGTCGTCTTTCTGTGAGCTGGATAAGTCAGTGTTTGTACAAGGTGTTTTGGGGCAATAGGATTTGGGATCTATAAACATTGGTGCAAGGAAGCACTGAATAGAAATGTGTGTGGTCTGTGATACTGCACGGGTGCACAGGAATTATCTTCTGTGCAGTTGCAAACAGCTGATTAGTTATGCGCTTCACCCAATACCTTCGTTAGCAACAATGCCATCCATATCCTCTGATTGTTCAGTTTCATACATGTTTTATCCTTCACTGTTCCATGTGCTCACCCTATAGTTAATGAACAGGCATAACTCGACTCTTTCACATCCATCATCAGTGCATTTTCAAACTATAGTGTATAACGTACGAGCTTGACATTGTTGAGAGAAACCGGTGTTGTGACCTCCAACACTTGAGATGTTTGCTCGCGTCTAGCCCCCGAGTGCTTTAATGTTAAGAAGGTGGGAGAGTGGAGAAACGTGTGCGTAAGTACGACGCTAACGCTCGACACAGTCGACATGAGAATGAGGAGGAAAGAAGAGCGGTGGAAAATGTGAGAAGATTTGTGTCTATCAATTAGTTACACAAACAGATATACAGGATCAGTGGAATATAACTAGTTGCTACTACATTACCAATCACGATAGTATTCGGCATAAAATGAGTCAGGTCACTCACAAATTGATCAATATCACTTGCAAATCACGTGGTATCAAAACAACAACAAATAAACACTTCAACACATGTTGTCGTACTCGCTAATAGATTGAGTGTTTATTCGAATCACAACTAACAAGCATAGGTCAATGGGCAGAGACATGCATGTTTATTAGTATGTCTGCTGACGTCATTTTGTCAAGTTGTGACTATCACTGATGCAAGTGGAGTATGAGTACATGTTGCATGTTTCCCAGAATAATCAGTGACTAAACGCAATTGCCTCACATTCACACATGAACACACACGCACACACAAATTTTGTAAATGCTGTGAATCGCTGATAATCGGGACAGGAAGCACATTTTGCAATAACTTCAGTCAGTGTAAAGAATGACTGTGTGCTATAGTTAGTAGTAGTAATTGTAGTTAATACTGTGTGAATTGGCCCTTGATTATAACTCATTGATCGCTCAATACTGCCGTTAAAACGTCGTTTTATCGAATGAGCTGACAACGTGAAGTTACTAAACGAAACACAAGTAGTAGTGATAGTGATAGTGGTATTGGTAGTCGTAGTCGTAGTCGTACTCGTAGTCGTAGTCATGGTCATAGTAGGAGTAGGGGTAGGAGTGACAGTAGCAGTATTGTAGTCATTCACCGGTCCTCTCATCAATAGAAACCAAGAATTATTCTCAGTGAAGTTGCAAACAGCCTGCACAAATATCTGGTGTTGTTATTCTGTAATGAAACTAGTGAAAAGTGTTTAGATGTGCTGCTGCCGTCAGGTTGTCAAGTTGTGACTATCACTGATGCGAGTGGAGTATGAGACCAGGAGATGGTGCAGTGGAAAGCAACCCGATTGGATGTGATGCAGTGTAACGTAACGTAACGTAACGTAACGTAACGTAACCTAACGCAACGAAATGCAATGCGACACAACACCAACCGACGATATTTAGTTGACTTCACTGTGCTACTGAAATGCTTGACAGTAGTTTGTAGTTTATTGGAGTGCATGATGGGGAATTCGTTGTGTAAACTGAATAGACTACTGATGAGGTGATGGTGAATTGTGGTGTTTATGCAGTAATGTTGAAGAGCGATGAGATTGAGGAGTGTGGACGTTGGTGTAAATGTTGTGCAGAATGGTGTGTAGTGTGTTTTGTGATGTGTTGAGAAGATTGCGTTGAGACGTGCAAAGCTGTTGGAGATGTGAGTGTGAGGTGTGTTGTGGTGAGGTGTATTATGGTTGTGTCAATGAATCGTGCATCAGAAAAGGAGAGATGGTTGGCAGTCCCCTGCACAAGGTCGGACAGGGCATCTGATGCCCACTCTCCTGAGGCATGAAACATCCGCTACTTTCGGATGGCCTTTTTCCAAACTATTATTTATACATATCACATTTCACTCACCTCACCTCACCGATCACTCACTTCACTTCACTCCCACTGATGGTCTGTTGACCATCGGGCACAAACTACACACATTCCCTCTCCATCCATAAACTACTACACATTCATCACTGCAATTCGCAAAAAACGCATCAGCCACAAAACCACACACACTCACTCACTCATCAAATCTTTCGATCCAACGCACACACAACATCACTAATCATTCACAACTGACATACCATCACATCACCCATGTGGGTTGTAAACTACCACATCACCAGATACTACCACTCTAACCAACACTTTCAACCACTCAAACCGCTTACATATACCGAATTCACATTTCACACAGCATTGCCCAAGCAAACAAATACGGCAAATAATCACATCATTCTACCACTGAAATTTCATGTGAATTTTCCCGTAACACGTGTTGATTGTACAATCGATTGTCGCCTTTGTCACACACACACACACACACACCTGTCTTGGTTGAATAGTGAGAATTCTCACCTAAATGTCTCTCTTCACGGAGGGAACATTTCGCCAGATTCATACACTGATTTACACCAAATAGTCTACTGTAGCGTTCATGCACTCGCACCAGATCACCAGTAGGAACGCCGTGCTCATCATCCCCTGCAATCGCTAGCCAGTCTAGATCACCCGATCCTCCATATATTGACAGCCTATCAAATATATCTTCAAACCCCTTCGCTTCTGTCTTTTGATTTCACTTGGTGGATACGATTCATACTAGAAGATGTTACTGGTTAAAGCGTTGTCAAACTCCAAATATCTGTGGAATCTTCACTACTTCTCAGTCGAACTCACTCTTAATTAGTCCACACTAAATTATCTGCTTTCAGCCGAGATGTCTCCGAAGCTCGCTCGGCCTTACTTACTTACTTACTTACTTACTTACTTACCCAGTGCCCAGCTGCCAACTTTCGTACAAAATGGATCAATGTTGAGTGAAATCGGGGGAAATACAATGAAGAAATGTCAAATTAACACGGGTGTGGGATTCTTGCAAACATTCTTCCAAACTTTACTGAAGTTGGCATGTTTCCCAGAATAATCAGTGACTATACGCAATTGCCTCACATTCACACATGAACACACACGCACACACAAATTTTGTAAATGCTGTGAATCGCTGATAATCGGGACAGGAAGCACATTTTGCAATAACTTCAGTCAGTGTAAAGAATGACTGTGTGCTATAGTTGGTAGTAGTAATTGTAGTTAATACTGTGTGAATTGGCCCTTGATTATAACTCATTGATCGCTCAATACTGCCGTTAAAACGTCGTTTTATCGAATGAGCTGACAACGTGAAGTTACTAAACGAAACACAAGTAGTAGTGATAGTGATAGTGGTATTGGTAGTCGTAGTCGTAGTCGTACTCGTAGTCGTAGTCATGGTCATAGTAGGAGTAGGGGTAGGAGTGACAGTAGCAGTATTGTAGTCATTCACCGGTCCTCTCATCAATAGAAACCAAGAATTATTCTCAGTGAAGTTGCAAACAGCCTTCACAAATATCTGGTGTTGTTGTTCTGTAATGAAACTAGTGAAAAGTGTTTAGATGTGCTGCTGCCGTCAGGTTGTCAAGTTGTGACTATCACTGATGCGAGTGGAGTATGAGACCAGGAGATGGTGCAGTGGAAAGCAACCCGATTGGATGTGATGCAGTGTAACGTAACGTAA